TCGTGAGAAAAAAAGTTTTTGCTCTGTTTTTTCTGAATTAATTAATTAAATTAAAAAAAAATCCATGAAAAATTAACTCGTTAATTCAGAAAAACAGAGCAAAATATTTTTTTTCTCATGAAAAATTAACTCATTAATTCAGAAAAACAGAGCAAATTTTTTTTCTCATGAAAAATTAACTCGTTAATTCAGAAAAACAGTAGATTTTTTTTTCTTCAAGTGAATGCAATACGCCTCCGTATAATTCTGATTCATACTGTTTATTTTCCTTATATAAACCAACAACAACAAAAAATACAACAATATATATATATATATTTTATATATATATAATTTTTTTTATTGCATTTTAATAAGAACAAAACATAATTTACATACAGAAGCACATATAACCAAACGCATTTTTAATCACAAAAAAATACATTTTACAGTTTCTAAATATATTTTAATATCAATTTCAACAGACACCAGTGATTAACTCTGTGTGTGTGTGTGTGTGTGTGCAGGCTCGCACTGCCCCCTGCTGCCTCTGCCCAGTAATAACCGCTTCAAGCGAGTCTCTCATCATGACGTCCCCGAGGTGGTGTCCTATCCGCTTCCTCAGAGCTCCGCCTCCTACATGAGCCACGCCTCCAGCGCTGTTGCCATGGTGAGCGGCCTGCATCCCAACAAGATGAACTGCACTCGCATCTTCAACCTCTTCTGTCTCTACGGCAACATCGAGAAGGTGAAGCGCTCAGTATAACGAAGACTTTAAATTTCACAAAATTTCAGTCGATAATGTTATTAAATATTATTTTAAAACCCTAACTGTGTGTGTGTGCAGGTGAAGTTCATGAAGAGCGTCCCGGGCACAGCTCTTGTGGAGATGGGTGATGAGTATGCGGTGGATAGAGCGATCACACACCTCAACAGCATCAAGGTCTTCAGCAAACGGCTCAACGTCTGGTGAGGAAACACAACGTCTGTGATCCGCAGTCGGGTGTGTATGACATGCAGACTGATATATCTGGTGTGTGTGTGTGTGTGTCAGCGTGTCGAAGCAGCACGCTGTGATCCCCAGTCAGGTGTTTGAGTTGGACGACGGATCCAGCAGCTACAAAGACTTCGCCATGACCCGCAACAACCGCTTCACCAGCGCCGGACAGGCGTCCAAGAACATCATCCAGCCTCCGTCCTGCGTCCTCCACTTCTACAACGTCCCGCCCTGCGTCAGCGAGGAGGACCTGCAGCGGGTGGGTCTCACACACACACACACAGGCTCTTGAAGCTCCGCCCTCTGTGCCGAGAGCAGCAGCTCATTTGCATTTAAAGGGACACACACGAAACAACACATTTTTATTGACCCTCAAAAAGCGTGCTGTAAAAATATCTGTGGGGTATTTGAGCTGAAACACACACACACACACTCTGGGGACATCAGAGACTTATTTTATATCCTGTAAAAATGGCCATTATACCTTTAATTCTGACTTTTTAAGACATTTTAATGTCAGAATTTCTAGTTAATTTGGTAACACTTTACAATAAGGTTAATTAGTTAACTACATTACTTAACATGTACAATATGTGAACAATACTTCTTCAGCATTTATTAATCTTAGTTAATATTAATTCCAACATTTACTAATACGTTATTAAAATCAAAGGTTGTATATGGACTGTGAACTAACATAAACACACAATGAACAGCTGTATTTGTATTAACTAACATTAACGAAGATTAATAAACACTGTAACTAATGCATTGCTCATCATTAGTTCATGTTAGTTAATGCATTTACTAATGTTAACTAATGAACCTTATTGTAAAGTGTTATTGTTAATTTAAACTATTTAAGTCATAATTTCGACTTTTAATCTCATAAATATGAATTACCAAAGCAAGAATAATTTTTTTTCTTATGTGGCAGAAATGAATTAATCAGAGCGTAAACAAGCTTGACTTCACCAGTTTCTATGTTAATTCATTATCTGAAACGTTCAGGTGATTTTTACCCAATTTTGCAGACAAATTGTCCCCGGAGATAAAGGGCGTCCTCATTTCTAACAGTGGTATAAACTAAAGTAAACAATGTTTTTTAGTTTTTCCTGTTAGGGTTAGATTACAGTATTCATAACTTCGCCAGTGTCTGTTCTACTGTAACCAGTGTTGGGTAAGTTACTCAAAAAAAGTAATTAATTACTAGTTACTAATTACCTCTTCAACTGTGTAATTAGATTACTGTACTAATTACTCTCTCTAAAAAGTATTTAATTACTTTTAATTACTTTCAAAATCCCATATCAATCTCAATCAGCTGATTAATACAAGGATAGACATGAATCTGTTTTAATTCTTTCAAATAAACACTATAAAATTGCATGAATTATCCTTAAACTGACCAAGGTGGAGAAGGTTACATTATAAAAACATACTTTAGCATCAGACAATACATTTTGATCTTAAACCCACTATTGTTTTATGTCTGATCTCATGACATTTCACACTTTTTTCATGAATATTTTACAATAATTCATACGAAGTTGTACGAGTGCGGTCGTAATATTTAGACTCCTCATAAAATGCATACGAATCGCTGTGAGATCGGATTGATCTATACACAGTATTTACCTCAATTACATCAAAAGTAACTGTAATTAAATTACAGATAAATGAAGAGTAATCCCTTACTTTACATTTTCAAGGGAAAAGTAATTAAATTACAGTAACTAATTACTTAGTAATTAGTTACACCCAACACTGACTGTAACACACTGATTTTCTTCTGTTGTTTTGCAGTTATGCACAGAACACGACGTCCCAGGATTCATCAAATACAAAGTGTTTGACGCCAAACGTGAGTCTTGAGTTCTCATTGATTTATGATTCATGTTTGAGTTTTCATTAACCATAGACACTGTTCAATTATTTCACAAATATCCAGATTTGTAAATGTTTTTCATGGTTATACGGGCGTTAAGGCAACATTCCGTTTGGTAATTTTACTAACATTTTTGGAATGTAACATCTGAACACAAGATGATGTAATGGAACGTTCACGTGTTTAAACTTTTTGAACATTCCGATATAATGTTGTCATCACTTCTTAGGACATATTTTTGTTAGCTGGTTTTACGACGTAGATAATTGGCTGTGAAACGGGTCCATTGGTGAATTGTGCAGCATAAATATAGTTATTGTTCTTTATTACTGCTTTGAAACTGTGCCGTTTGAATCCACAGCCAGTTCAAAGACCATCTCTGGTTTGCTGGAGTTCGACAGTAAAACTCACGCCGTGGAGGTTCTGACGGTTCTCAATCATTATCAGATCCGGATACCCAGTAAGCAAACACTCTCTCTGTTTACCCATCAGCCTCTGTTCTAGATCAAGTCAGAAATCAACTAACGTCAACACTTCATTTGTGTTATGGCACATAATTCAAGTCCATGGTTGAATATTAGCGTAAGATTTTTTTTTTATTATTATTATTATTAAAAAGACTGGGAACTCAGAAATACAAAAGTTTTACAAAAAAATATAAAAGTTATTTTACTTTTTTTTATTTAATCATAAACTCAAGTTAATTTTGTATTTTTCTAAGAATTCATTCTTTTTTGCATCTCAAGTAAATGTATCTTGATTTAAGCATTAAAAGACAATTTTTTTTAAATTATTTTTTATTATTATTAAAAAGACTGGGAACTCAGAAATACAGATATTTATTTTTGTATATTTACTTAATATAAAAATTAATTATGGCATCAGCAAAATAACTCATTGGGTTATGGTTGCCACAACTAAAAAATAAAACATTCGTCCAGAAAAATCTAACGGTCACTGATAGATCTCAGTCTCCTATTAAATATATTTGAATATTCCTCATTATAATAATTAATGCGCAGAATAAAGGGGCGGGGCCTGGTTGAGTTAGTTAGTAGTGTGTTAAACTGGCGGTTATGGAATTTCCCAAACACACCCGAAGCTCTCGACCAATCACAACACACTGCTCCAGCCGACCAATCAGGAGGCTTCATAGGGACAGGAAGTAAACAGAGTGTTACTGACAGACTGGGACGAGAGGAGCCGCAACATTGAGGAGAATAATCAACATTCAACTTCTAGAAGAGCCTGAAACTACAGTTCACAGTTGAATCATGTGTGGTGTAGATTGAGGATGTGAGATTAAGCATGACATGCTTTAACTGTGTCAGTAATCTGTGGTTTGGTTGTTTTTCAGATGGTTCGAACCCGTACACGCTGAAGCTGTGCTTCTCCACCTCCTCACATCTCTGAGCCGGAGCGTCTCCATCACGTTTCTGTCCTCATCTGTAAATCAAACAAGGAAACTGACACACACACGCACGCACACACACTCTCTGGATGTAAACAATAATGATGTCACTGACGGCGGGACCACGGAAAACACAAGGAAGAGCCAATGAACGACTGTTTCGTTCGATTTATTATTCAATTTATGGCGTTTTTCCTCGTCTGTTCTGACATTCGATAAACACGGCGTGAACTGAAACACTGAATGAATGGATGAATGAAGAGCTGAACTGACGTGTGCATGACACTGAGAACATGGACCTCGTGTGGTTTATTATTTATGTGTACAGAAGCAGGGTTTACTAGAGACTGAAGGATCGCCTGCTGGGTTAGCCGCTTAGCTAGTCACATGACCTGTAGTCTGTCTGTGCGTTTGTTGTAGTTCTGGGTTTGGTTAGATGACTGTGAGATGCTTTGATCAATGTCCGTGTTATAGATCGACTGCAGCCCTGATCCAAACACACGATCATCACGTGACGCTCAGGGTTTCGTACGTGTGGACCTTCATTGGTTGTTCTCCAAGCAGATCTTTTTCACCGTTACTGATCCTGTAGTTTGATCTCGTTGCAGTTTTTGCTCAACCGTCAGCGATGACAAATTACGTTTCCATTGAAAACGGCGAAAAATAGAAATAAAATAAAACTAAATAATATAATATATTTCATATCTCGAATATGTAAATACAAAAAAAAATTGAATATCTTTAATATAATTTGTTTCATTAATTCAACTTAAAAGGTGAAACTAATATATTATATAGACTCATTACATGCAAAGTGAGATATTTCATGTTTTTATTTCTTATAATTTTCATGATTATGGGTTATAGCTTTCACAAAATTAGATTGTGAAAAGGTTTTCATAAGCTGTGATCCATAATCATCACAATTATAACAAATAAATGCTTGCAATATCTCACTTTGCATGGAATGAGTCTATATAATATATTAGTTTCACCTTTTAAGTTGATCGAATTACTGAAATAAATGAACTTTTGCACCATATTCTCATTTTTCGAGTTTCACCTGTAAAGGAATTGTATTTAAAATTAACAATGGGCAATAAATAAATACTAATACAACAAATTAAATTAATTTAAAATTATTTTATTTATTTATTTTAAATTAAATTTAAATTAATTTAATTTGTTTTAATATTTTCTAAATGCAATTTATGTGTTGATTGGGTTTCATCTGCACTACAATCCAGTCAGTTATTCATGTAATTTTTTTTTAGAATATAAACGAGTGTATATGTCATCATCATCATCATCGGGATGCTGAAGTCAGATAAAAAATAAAACGGCATTTCATCCGTCTGCTCGTCTTATTCCCGATCGGAGGCGTTAGTACTAACTAGTCCCCATCCAACAAAAATACCTTCTAAGAATGCTTCGTTAACATTAAGTTACGAAAAAATGAATTCTGAATGTTCTCTGAAAACATCCGGTTTTAAAATGTGGAGGGAACGTTGCATTTTATCATTCCGCAAACATTATGAAATATTACTTTTGAATGTTCTCTGAAACTAGTAACATTTTAAAAACCGTTAGATGAACTAAGAAAGAAAAAACGTTCCATTAACAATGTATAAATCAAGTTTTTGCAAGGTTTCTTTAAAAGACAATTAAAGGCCTTAAAAAGTCTTAAATCAGAGCAGAAACTCATAAACATTACATGCATTGCAAAAATGATGTTGTTCCTCCGTATTTTTCCTATACATCTTTAAATCAAGATTTCCATGAGATGCAAATGTAAAATGAAGCTAAATAACATAAGTGAGGTTATCCATAAAACAAGAACAGATATCTGTCGGTGAGTTATTAATCGTTATTTTATTTTACTTTTTTTTATTTAATCATAAACTCAAGTTAATTTTGTATTTTTCTAAGAATTCATTTTTTTTTTTTTGCATCTCAAGTAAATGTATCTTGATTTAAGCATAAAAAATACAAAAATCATCACTTTTTTTGCACTGCAATCAGAAGGTACAGTAAAAATGATTTCCATATTTTAGTGGTTGGCAGTAGATCGATACAAGCTACGTTTTGTGTTTAAAAACAAATTTAAAAAAGCGATGGATATCAATTGGAAGTTGCATATTGGTGTATTGTGTTCCCTTCCAATTATTCCATTACCTGGTCTTCAAAAGGCCTTACATTAAACTTCATAAAACCAGCAGAAACCCTGTTTTGTGTTTACGTTTTGAACATTATTAAAGACAATGCTCCATTAATGTTACTGGAAGAACGATTGCTCATTTGCACCTTCACAACCCTGGGTTTTACAGTCAGATCTGTGTGTCGGCTCTTCAGCGGCTGCAGCGAGAGGATCAGGATGATATTATTGTTAGTTCATGTGTGTAACTGACACATCAACACATCAGCAGTTCACTGTGAGCATGTGCAGTCATTAAACATCTGCAGGTCCACACGGCTGTGTGTCATTCATCAGGTCAAATGAGTTAGAATCAGTGTGAGTTTCTACCCTCAGTAATATCTGGGAAATTATTCACTCTGTAAGACTCTCCTCATGACCAGGCATCTGCAGTTTGGAGGCCTGTTTTACACAAACAGTTGGACGCCCACATGACCACGATGGGAAAAATGGAATTAGGGATGAACTGATATTCAAATTTTGGCCGATAACCGATAATCCCTTATATTTGAAAGCCGATAAACGATATATTGGATACAACCGATACACATTTTGAGAGCCATGTCCTAAAACACACAATTATAATGTTCAAATTATTAATTTATTCACAGATTTTGTGCTATGCATTTACTGTATTTTCCTTTTTGAAGTGATTCCAATCATATTTCAAGCAATTCAAAACCATGCTCATTTGAAGACTCTCAGCTGAAGGAAATTATACATTTTTATCGGCTTTAATATATCGGCCACATTTTCTTATCAGGCCGATAACGATAACGGTACAAATTAACATATATCGGCTAATGCGATACTAATAGGTGGCTGATATATCACGAACTAATTCAGCTTCTCATAGATGTGTAATGGCTCAACTTTGGATTTCTAGCTAAATAAAGCACAAACAAACATGGTTCTGACATTATAGTCGTCCTGTAGTCAATCACTATCGCTTAAAACTCATCTTTGATCACCAACTCTCGTCTTCGTGTGTTAAAACAGCTTGAATGTAACTCGACACCCTCGCCTCATTTAATATCCGCGGTTCTATGAATATGCAAATGAGCCCCACCTCCACTCACTCTCCCAGAGATCCACTGGTTGACGATCACACGTTGATCTGATTGGTTACAAGGACGTTTGTGACGTCAAAACTTATGAACTTTCACATTGTGTGTGTTAAAGCGTATTAAAAACACCACATAGACACACGAAAAGCATTAAAAGCTGGGTTTACACCACATGGGGACTTTAACATGAATGTTTTGTTTATTACTGCATATCCTGTTATAAATAATAAATAATAAAAACAAGAACTCATTCAGGGACATTTTTGCCCTTTATATCTTTTGTTATGATGACACTCAAAGCACACGAAGCTGTGGCTCATCAAATAAAATCACCTGAAGAAAACCCTCGACTCTGTTCCAGCCGCTCATGAAGGGTTGTGATGTTTTCCTGAGACCTTCTTTCTGTCCATCTCTCACCGCATGAAGAAGAAGAAGAAGAGAAAAACATTCATCCGCGGCTCTTCACGTGTTTTGACAGCGCTGACTCCTCCTGATTGGTTCCTTTTAATCTGCCTCAGCCAATAGTAAAATAAAAAACTAAAAAAACGCGAGTTATATCTCACAATTTTGACCTTGTGATTGAGGTTCATATTGACTGTACATGACTGTGCACAGTAATAATGAACGTGAATTACAATAAAAGATGATTGGGGTAAAACCAACTCAGAATGTATGATGACGTAGTGATCTAGTGATAAATGCACACATGGGTACATGAACGCGCCGCGCGGGGCCGTGAAAAAGGAACGCGCAAGAGTGTAGCGGCGTGCGTGACGTCAGGCGCGTGCGATTATTTTGAACGGGGGTCAAGATGGCGGAGGATAGCAGCTTAAAGCACCGGAATCACACCGGGAAGAACTGCACAAGTGACCGATATAACGAAGGTAAACCCGGCGAGACACAGCGCGATTGTGAGCGCGATTTTACGGTCAATGCACGTTTAACGCGAGTGGAGCGCGAGCGGCGCGACCTGGCCGCTTGGCGGGAGGCGCGTGCAGGCCAGCGATCGCGCTGCGGTAAAAATCAATAATAATAGAATTAAATTTATACAGAATTAGATAAACATAAGTAAATCAAAGACGTCAGGCAGTGCGAGAACGGTTTATGAAATATGACCGTTAATTTATGAAATCGCTGAGTGAAATCGGGATGAAAAATCACCTGAGGACTGAATGCAGATGATTTCACAAGCGATCGATTTCATCATTTCATCATCGTGAGTGTGTTTGTTCTTATTAAACCTATATATGAGCGTTAATGCTTTTAATAGTTCCGTGCGAGTGTGTGTTTCAGTGGTTTGTGTTTATCAGGCCACACGGGAATATAGAGATGGAGAAAATATCACTGACAGAACATAAACAACTGGAGATTTCAGATGAAAGATAACGGTGAAATCAGGGCTAGAGACTGATTTACTGATCATAATGTTGTGTTTCTGAGGGGTTGTATGGCAGATTCTGGGGATCATATGTTGAATTATGTTTTGCTTATTGTTATTTCAATTATGTACATTTGGATTTATGTTGTTTGGAAACATTAATATTTTAAAATGTTTTTGAGTCTCTTCTGCTCACCAGGGCTGCATTTATTTGATTAAAAATACAGTGAAATATTATAAAAATGTAAAACGGCTGTTTTCTATGTGATTATGCAGTAGCTAAGTTAACGTTAACTGTTTAAATGTTTCTACAGGTGAAACTGGATACCGTGCAAAAGTTCATTTATTTCAGTAATTCAACTTAAAAGGTGAAACTATTATATAGACTCATCACATGCAAAGTGAGATATTTCAAGCCTTTATTTGTTATAACTTTTATGATTATGTCTTAGAGCTTATGAATACCTTTTCACAATATTCTAATTTTGACTTTGTGGTTTTCATAAGCTGTGAACCATAATTATCAAAATTATTACAAATAAATGCTTGAAATATCTCACTTTGCATGTAAAGAGTCTATATTATATAGTTTCACCTTTTAAGCTAAATTACTGAAATAAATGAACTTTTGCACCATATTCTAATTTTTCCAGTTTCACCTGTATATAAAATCAGTTGTTATTATTAACAATTAATATTATAGTAATATGCGCTGACAGGATTCCAATATTTTTTTTTCTTAAGGAAAATTGACGTACTGTACCTGATGTAGATCCAAATAAATCAATATCAAATTGAGTTATCAAAATTGAATTGCAAGCTTAATATTTTTCATATTGTCATCTGTATTTCATTCCTGAAGGTTTCCTTGTGTTATTGCAGGAATAAAATCTCCCATATCTGAGCAATATTTCCTCTCACAGGGTTTCCGTATATCTGTTTTATGAGGGTTTTATTGGTTTTGTTTAAATATTGGATATTGTGCTGATATGACATTTTTTTAAAACCAGCCATAGATTCCTCGCATACTG